TAGAAGGAAATTGAAATCAAAATGTGAAAATAGAAGGAAATTGAAATCAAAATGTGAAAATAGAAGGAAATTGAAATCAAAATGTGAAAATAGAAGGAAATTGAAATCAAAATGTGAAAATAGAAGGAAATTGAAATCAAAATGTGAAAATAGAAGGAAATTGAAATCAAAATGTGAAAATAGAAGGAAATTGAAATCAAAATGTGAAAATAGAAGGAAATTGAAATCAAAATGTGAAAATAGAAGGAAATTGAAATCAAAATGTGAAAATAGAAGGAAATTGAAATCAAAATGTGAAAATAGAAGGAAATTGAAATAGAAAATGTGAAAATAAAAGGAAATTGAAATCAAAATGTGAAAATAGAAGGAAATTGAAATCAAAATGTGAAAATAGAAGGAAATTGAAATCAAAATGTGAAAATAGAAGGAAATTGAAATCAAAATGTGAAAATAGAGTGCAAATGTATTTATAAGTAATCAATATTTGATTAATAAAAGGTAAATTACTTTAATATTTTGATGGATATTTTTGCACCATCTTCAGAATATTTCTTTTAATTTATGACCATAAAACACTATTTTCAAATATATTGTGGAGAATAGAAATTCAAAATACAATAGAAATTATCTAATTTTGAATGATTATGACAAAAAAAAAAAAGTTCACTCAAAGAACATTTTGAAACAAAAGAAAATTTGTAAGAAACAGAGAAAAGAGTGCTGAACAGGTATATATCACCTATACAGCAGTGAATGTTAGACAATTTCCTCACAGATAAAGAGAAGAGTTGAGGTAGCAGAGATCCACTTCTGACAAAGGATGCTGAGAATATCATTAACAGAGCATGTGAGCAATGAGAAAGTTTTAAGGAAAATGATAACAAAAAGTACACTTAAAATTGAAAAGAGAATTGAAATTTCTAGGAAATATGAGGAAAGAATGCTTGGAGAATTTGACACTCAAATGATATTTTGGGAGGAAGAGGGAAGCAGTGAGTAACTTACCTAATGAGTTTTTGTAAATGAATGACTGAAAATGGAGTAGGAGGAATACTAAACATTACTAAGAGCTTTGACGGATAAGAAAGTGTAGGGAGCTATGACTGCCAATGTTCTGAAGTGAATGGACACAGCATATAAAAGAAGAATAATAAATAACTTTGTGGCTAGAAGTATTTGAAAAATTAACCAAATCATTTTTTTGTCACTTGCAAGATAACTAGCTCGAGCAATGTATATGTAGTTGACATTATCTACTTAGATGACCATAACAATGGAGGTTTGTATTTCTTCTGTATATATCATTTCTTTAGGCAACACAAAGGAGGGGAGCACAAGTTTGTAGGCGGAAACTGTAATAATAAACTTTATTCATCTCTTATGATTATTGTAAGTTATTCTTATTAAATATTTGGGAAATGTGTAAGTTCAAGGAATTTCACCTGTGAAACATGTTTACTTTTTACAAAGTACTTAAAGAAATCGGCTAAATGTCTGGGTCAGTTGAAACGCATCTTGAACATAGTGATTGTTCATCCTGTTTGGAAATCATACTGTTATCATTGTCTTCTTTTAAAACAGGCTTTTATATAAATATGTACTTTATAATGTTGTTTAAAATTGTAATACCACCTAAAAGAGGTTTTATTTAATAGACCTAAAAAATAACCAAACCCAACAATCATTTTAACCCATTGAACAAGTAGTACTAATAAACCAATGGAAATCTACTTCATCCCATTGTATCTGCTTATTGGTACAATGCTCTGTTGACTAATTACTATAGTACCAGTAAACTGGTAGAACCGTGTACCTTACCCTGTTGTACCAGTTTACTAGAACAATGTTCTGGCATCTACAATATATACTCATGTATAAGCCATCTTAATATATTGTGCGACTCCTTAATTTTTTTTGCAAGAATTCCCGGAAAAAAAAAAAAAAAATTTACCTGTGTATAGTGCAACCAGTTACTAAAGATGCATGATTTTTAACTTCTTCAAAAAATTATCTGTTTATAATGCTACACACTAGGTTTTGCATAAAAACTGATCATAAAATCTCACATTATACTTGAATATATACTGTAATCAAAATAGTACCAACAATCTGGTAAGAGCATGTACCTCACCCTGTCATACTAGTTTACTGGTATAAGGTATAGCATATAATCACCACAGCACCAGCAAACCTCAATTTTAGAATCTGTAAAATAACTTCAAATATAGTATTAACTGTAGTACTGCACTATACCCTCAGGAAAGGGGTAAATCTAAAGTCTGTACTTTTTATTTAAATATTTCTGCTAATAATTTGAAATGTTTTTGTGTCCATATGAAGATAGACAAATAAAAATGATTAAATTCTCTCAGGTGTGGACAATTACTACCCGTGTCTTTATGTAAAATAAGGACCTATTTGCTGGTAGAACAGGCAAGTTAAAAAGAATTGCACAGCCTCACATGGAAGTAGAATATGGCTCTAGATACGAGTTAATTTGCACTGGCCATTTGTTGCTCTTCACTACTGATTTGTTGCAGTTTTGAAAAATAAAATTTACCAAAAATGTCCAGACATAGTGTATTGGCAAATGGTCAGGGTTTAACTGATATTAACCAGATCAACTAAGTGATATTTTGGTGGCAATTAGATATTTCCAATTAATACATCTTGAACAAATTATTTTAAGTGAATTCAGAAACAAATTTCTTTTTCTAGAGTAGTGTAATAGTTACTTAGGTAAAGTAGGCTATAAAATTAGAAGTTTGGTATAAAGAAAAAATAATTCTTAATCAGACAAGAGAAATAACCATAGACATAAAAATTATTTTTTTCCTCTCTCCATGCATTTAATCAAATAAATTCACATATTAGTATATGGGAGAAGATTTCACTGAAGCTATAAAACTGAAAAAAAAAAAAAGTTTAATATCAACAATCTATGATGTGTAAACATGAAGATTTGACTTATACTTCGTGCAAAAATTATTCTAATTTCTTGTATTATTTTGAACTATTGTTCTCATCTTGGTTGCTATAGATGTTGACATCTATAGCAACCAGGTTTCAACCAAATACCTTCTGATGATCATCAGGTGTCCATTGATTGGCTGATATGGAATATCTTGATTATACCAAAGGGTACTTGGTTGAAATAATGCATCTATAATAACACATATCAACAAAGATGAAAACAATGGTTCTAAATACAAGAATATTAACAATTACTCATCTCAGAAATTAAATACTAAATTATAAAAAGCAGTATGAACCTACACACCATAACCAAATGTCAAAACCATCTGACATCGAATATAAAAGGCTAAAAAAAAAAACCCCAAAAAACAACAACAACAACAAAAAAAAAATAACAGACAAAAAACACACTACTAATGTCTTTCAGGATGGTGATGTAGTGGATATAGGAGTTGGTGAGTTACTATCATATAGTGGTCAGGAGTTCAATCCTTGGTAGTGAAGCACAAATTCAGCAGGAATGAATGACAACTGATATCATAAGGACAAAATAACACAATCAACAGATACCCATATCAACTAATCAATGGACACTTGATGACCAGAGGTACGTGGTTGAAATGTTGTGCCTATAATGACATAATTTAAGAATATTGACAATTACTCATCTCTGAAATGAATTATTCCAACTTATTAAAACAAAATGATAGAAACAAACAGAATGCAGATTCACAGACATTAGATTGATAAAAATTTAAATTTTATAAGTCTATGAATAATATGAATATACATTGAAGGTATAAAACTGAAACATTCAGGTTTCAGTTTGTGTTCATGAATCATTTTATTATTAATTTCAGAAGATAGGAGTGATATTGTAAGCCATTTAAAACTTCCTTCTAACATCATTTGTTCAGTAGTGCTTTCATTTTTTTTTGTTTTTTTTTTTGTTTTACTGTGAGGTTTATTCTGTACATCGTCCGGGGACCACTCAAGATAGAGTAAGAGGTAGTTTATGCTTTTGGGAGGGGAAGATAATGGTTAACCCTAGACTTGAACAGGTTAAGATTGTAGTGATTAGAGAAACATCTTAGGAGTCAGTTCCACACTGTAGTAGCTCAGTGGAAGAAGAAGCTATTAAAGTGGAACTTATTTCTCACCAATAGTATAAGGAGGGAATGAGGGAGGGGTTTACTACAATGTGAATGGCATGGTGGTTCCTAGCTGTGGAAGTTCAAACTAGCAGAACCAAGGAATGCAATTTGTCCAAGCACTTTCCATTCAAGTAGTGATAGATCAGTAAGAGGCTTGCCACATCCCAGAGAGAGGCTGGAAAGTGAAAATAATTTGGCACCCACAAGAACTCAGAGATGCTTTTGAACTATATTGAGACTGGAAAGTGAAGACTTGGCAGCTTCTGCCCAAATATGATAGCAGTACTTCATTTTAGGCTTGATCTGGCTCTTGTAAAGTTAAAAGGAAGCACAAGGAGTCAGGTACTGTCCAGCAATGCCATGTCATCACTGCCCTGGTGATACTGCCAGCAGTAAATGTCAAAACCTTACTGATGATTGTTTAATTTGCCCACAATTTGCTTTGTCACTAAGTAATTGAATGTTCTAAAAATTAATAAATACTACTTTTGATGATATGGGTTACCTAAATAGGTGTGTGGGGGGGGAACATTGGCAGAATACACATGCAGAGAAAAGAAAGTCTAAGCGATAACAAAAAACAATTTGTTACTGTAAATACATTAACAAAGATATTTTAAAGCTATGAAATTAATTTAGAAAAATTGGAAATTTAAAGTTTGCACAGGCCAATAGAATACATAGTTTACAGTAAAAATAAAAAATGGGTTGTCTATTTCAAATACGAGTATCCACTATAGTAATGCTTGAAGACATAAAAATATCTTCTGGCTTTTCCAAACAGCCATTTATTCAAGCGAACACAACTCTTACTTACAAAAGAGTCACCCTAATTAAACTGTTATTCATTCCACCCACACATCCAATCTTACCTGGTATTCCCAAGTGATTACCAATCTAGGTACTAACCAGGCTTGATGTTGCTTAACTTTGGTGATCATATGAGAACCGGTGTTTCAACATATGACTATATATTTCAAATACTATAATAACCTTTGACTTAATAAAAAATGTTGGATTAAAAATAAATCCATTAATTCTTCAGAAATTTAAAGATGCAGAGTTGGTCAGAAGTGATGATAGTTAATGAATATTGTTGTAGAAAGTGGAATCTTGGAGTAAAGTACAAAGTGAGTTTGGTGCATTTACTTTCAAACTAATACCTCTTGAAAAGGCATGAATCTGTCTTTTCTCTTCCAAGCTATGGTCTAAATAGGTGGCTAGACTGGGCTCTCAAGTTTTGGGTAGTAGCTAGTCAAGGAGAAGGAATAGTCTGGATTCAGAACTGTGGAGGAGGTAACAGAAAACTACCCCATCATCTTTCCTAAGAATGCATGGTAATTCACATATAATAAAGGAAAGGAAACTGGCGAGTCATAACAGTTTATATCTTGAAGGGAAATGACATTAAATAAAAAGTTGCTAAGTGAAAAAATATAGGAAATAATATATATAATAATATAATTGCTCCACATGTCAGTGGAAAACATGAGACCAAAAAGGTGTAAAGAGTTGCTGATGGAGGGCCAAAATGGTTCTCTATGATGATTAAAGGATAAGTTTCATTTTGAAGGCATTGAAATTTACAATCCATTTCTTTCCCAGTTAACAACTAACTGGAGGTCATTCTTGAGAGCAAATGCCAGTTATACTTTGTCAGACCTATCGAACTTACTATTAAGACAGAAGTAAATAATTGTGTCATTAGCATAAATACCAAGCTGGGAAATGACAACATCAGGAAGGTTGTTGAAGATAAGAAACAATGTAAGTGCAAAGATAGAGCCCTAATAAAAAAAATATCACAAAACAGGTTGTATGCTACTATATGTCTGTGTTGGTTTGAAAATAGCATTACATGCTAATTAGTTTCTTACACAAATGTTAGAAACTGAAAATGTATATATATATACATAAGACAGCAGGCAATGTAAAGTTTGTAAAGATGTATGTCAACAGCAGCAGAAGTGTTAAGTAAGAAAATAAATTCATTCAACATTTTCTCTACAACATACAAAAATCAATTCAGGGTTTTCAGATACAAAAAAGAAAGAAAAGCTTATGGCCACATCACATTGAAACACAGGTTCCAGTATGGTCATTGAAGTTAAGCAATGCCAAGTCTAGTCAGTACCTAGATGGGTGACCACACTTAGGAATACCAAGTACTATAAGCTTGGATGTGTGAGTGGAATGGATAATGGCTTGGAATTGTTAATCAGTGAGCCGAGTTCCAATTCCTGTTGGGCTCATTTATTCACTAATGTGTAAATGACCTTAGGAAAAGTATGAGTTTAGTGCTGTGCTTAAATTCATAAACTCTAGGTACCATAGAACAATTACCATGAAAATATTTATAGAAAAGGTATATTTTGTTCTTTCCTGTAATTTTCCTATAGTGTTATAAGTAAACACTAAGGGCATCTCTTTTGATAGACAAAGGGTCAGGGTATGAAAGCTTTAAGTATCAACCTTGTTCTCATTCAGTTTCATTGATACACCAGTTCTAGTATGATCACTGAAATTAAGCAATGTTGAGTTTAGTTAGTACTTAGATGGGTGACCGCTTGGAGATATCGGGTGCTGCAAGCTTGGATGTGTGTATCGTGTAATAAATAATGGCCTGGAATTGGAAATCGGAGAGTTGAGTTCCAATTCTGGTTGGGCTTGTTATATTCAATTACATGCAAATACTCTTGGGAAAGGTATAAATTGACCTATTCATCCCTCAGCTATGGGTTAATTAGTAAGACTTTGTATTACTAAACCATTAATATAGCCAAAAAGAAACATTCTTACAATCTAAAAGTATTACCTGGGTTTAAATAACCTGCAAAGGAGTGATAAGCCATAAAAAATGAATCAATTTAAAAAAAAAAATTGAAGAAAAAGCCATGAGGGTGAGGTATACATGCATGCAGATATAAAGAAATGCACAGATAACATGCAATAATTATGAAGCAATATTATTCTTTTTCTAGGCCAGATTTTGATTAATTAAAATCAGAGTAAAACGCCAGTTATGCTAATGTAATCATCTAGAGAGAAAAAATTCTTTCATCCTGAAACAGTTTATATTCTTTAATAGGGGGTCATAAATACATTCATTTACATTTAATCTAATATAATTGATCAAGAACAGAATAACAATTGTTAGGAAAAAAAGAAAAGAAAAAGTAATGAATATTGTTTGTATTAAGTGGGCACCTAAGTGTGCCTTAATTACAGATTATTTTTTTTATTGTTACACTCATCCTGATTACTATTTAATTAGCAATGACATCCACATTATTATTATAATAAATCATCACTTATCCTCTATGTTGCTTTTGGCAAAGAGTCAAACATTAACAATAAACACAAGGAATCCATACTAAAAACATTATTTCTACTTTATGCTAAAAAATGTCTGCAGCTGACAGAGGATTATGGGTAATATTTGTTGTCTGCCTACATAAAGCAAACTATTGTAACTGGTCTTTGTGGATTTGTGTCTCAACAAAAGAATTCAATGAAAATGTGACATTTAGGAAACTTAACCAACAAATATATTTATTATTAAGTTAATACCTACATTCTGAAGTCTTAAATTTACAATGGTGTCGTCCATATTCATGCTCAACTAATCTACTATGCACAGGAGTAAAAATAATACTTAAAGAGATTTAAAACTCCTCTAATCAAGTCTTCTACGCACCATATTCCTTCAGGACATGAGTGACCATGACTCTCCACAACTTCCTATTTTTTGTAGCTCTTAGTAAAAAAAAACAAAAAAAAAACTATCACTGCCACTACCTGTTCTGCCATTCATTTACACAAACTCACTATTTTACTCTGTCCCTCCTGCATTTAATGCGTCAAATATAAGGGTCAAATTTTCCAAGCCTTCTTTCCTCATTATGTGCCCTAGAAATTTCAACTCTTTCCGATTTGAAGTGCAAGTGTCCTTTTCATTTCCATTTTCCTTAAAACTTCCTCATTGCTCACATGTTCCATTCGTGATATTCTCAGCATAGTTCTGTAGAAACATATCTGTTGCTTTAAGTCTTTGTTTCATCCGTGCAGCATTCACTGCTATATAGGAGGATTGATATTACACCGCAAGTTAGCACTGATTGTTTCTAATGAAATTTTCCTGTTTCTTAATACTTGCACTTAATATATTTTTGCTTTTCAGATTGAGCAAAAGTTAAAATTTCTTCCTCTCACAAATGTATTTCAATTAAAATATTGGTATTAATTTTCCTGTGACTCATAACAAAAATTGCTTCAAAAACCAGCAACAACTTCTAAAACATTCCAGGACAAAGTCCAATCTGAAACTTTAACCACTTTCCAAGATTTGCCAATTTCTCCATTAGATTCCAATTCCTTCCTTATGTACAAAAAAGAATGGGAGTGAAAATATGCAAATTCCTACTGAAACTACCAACATTGAACAAGCTTTTTGGAAAAGTTTTCTCCTCCTTCTTAGATTAGGTTTCAGCAAACTATCACATGCCTAAACATTTAACTTTTCTATGGGTATAACATATTATAGAAATTCTCTGGTTTCATTTTAGGCATACTGATAAAAAAAAAAAATGTGGGTGGCGTGTTTTTCGATATTTGTTTTTTCTGACCTTGAAAAAACAGATTAAAAAGAAAAAAAAAATAGATAAATAATTTGCAGACTGTTTCATATTTCTAAAATATATCAATATTTTAAGTTTCATGCTGAGAATAAATGATTCTGCAACAAGTCTGTTCCCCCTTGGATTTGATGGCATATATTTCAATCAATTATTTATAGTACAGAATATTTATCACAAAGCAATTTTACATCTTAGTCACATCTTAAAAAAAAAAAAAAAAAATTACCAAATTCGCTACTAATTTGGGATATTCAAACTACTGAATTCTGCAATTTATATTTTTGTTAGATGCCACTAGAAAGTGATATAAAACTACTTAGGTTTTATTTTGGAAAATAAAATAAAATTTATTAACATTTTCATGGTTACCAAGGATATTTGAACCCTTACTTAATGCCATCTGTTTTTATTAATTACCACTAGAAATTGTTAGACTATGCATAAGTTTGGTAAATAAAATTAAATTTATTAACCTATAAATAATGACACTAATCTAAATTCTTAACACTGGTTTTATATATTTTTCTTCATAGTGACATGTGTTGCCTGTTTTTTCTTTTTTAAACCATAAAAGTTCTATAAATCCAGATTTAAGAATAACACAAGTTTTTATTATTTGTAGAAATATTAAAAAACATATAGGCAAAATTTTATTAACAAAACAAAATGAATGCACGTGCATAAGAGACAGTATACAACAAGCAATATCACGAGATATACACATGTGTCGTGTACCAGTATACATATTATAACTGGAATGACTGAAAAATGCAATGACTCAAATAACAATACATCAGGGAGATCTGAGACACAAGTGGCTTGGAATCTGAGATGATGTCATGCAATCAAGAAATCTGGTGTTTTTGAATTGATGGTTAAAATTTCATTATGTATAAACCGTTCAGTTAAAATGCAAATATATGTTGACTGGAGTTAAAAGGATACCGAGGCGTAGTCTTCTATTAACCTTTAGTTTGTGACTTAGTAATTTCAGAATTTGGCAGGAAATGTGAAGTGCCATTTATATAAATACAACAGTATTCACATTCGTAGGAATGTATGTATTCCAATATGAATCATAGGGAAATAAATCTGTGACTAAACATGCTGTGAAGGATAGACTTTAGTAGAAGCCATAATGGAATGAGGAATAAACTGAAGGATTTGTTAAATAGTTTGAAAATCATCTCTTACAATATCAAGAGAAAATAAATAGAGAATTTTAAGTAGAGGATTCTTTGTGTGAAATAAACAAATTCAGTTTAAATTCTTTCATATTTTCATTGTTTTACTTATGTTTTTACTGCAAGACCATAAAATACATACATAAATAAATCAAGTAGGTAAATACTGAGAGGTGCCTGGTCCTTGTAGTTCCCCACCTCATTGCACCAGAGAGGAGTGATCAGCAGTAATATCGATACCAGCATAATCAACAGTTGTGGGGGTCTGGGCAATTTTTGGCCTGTGGGAAGGCTGGTAAATAACTACATAATTAAATCAATGTTTGTAGCCTAATGATGACAAAAAAAAAAAAATCATTTTACACTAATATTTACTTTGCCAACATAATCTCCCTTGTCAACATGTATTGCTTTGATACACCGACTTCATGATTTTAATTGAAATTACTACATGTAACCATAAATTCTATTCTAATAGTTTTTTTTTCTCTTGCACTTTTTACTTTTGTAACTCAACTTCTTGCTTTCCTGTCAGCTACAATCTTCAGAAATTTAAGTGTAACATCAAGTGTCATTATCTCTCCTTTAATCCTGTTCTTATTGTCCTTTCTCCATAGTAACATTTTCTCAGTTTCTGCCATTCTATTATCTTTCATCCTCAGTAACTTTTTACATCTTAGTAGCTTTATCACCTTACTTGGAGCAAAATGATTTTTAAAAATTGTGCATAGGCAATGAGAAAATGAGAATACAAGACTAAATCTTGCATGCATAACATTATTGTTTATTCAGATTTTGTCAATTACTCTCACTAAGTGGATGTGTGGTTTTTGAGCTTTCTCTGAATATGGATTCTACATTTCCATGAGTGAGTGCTTATATATCTACCTGTCAACCAGTTTGTCCCACCTGTGCATATCCTAAACACAGATGAGTTGACCATCTGTCTACATCTCAGAGGCAGGCACTGACATAAAGTGAAGGCACTAATTTGCACCTGGTGGATAAAAGGTCATCTTTCACCTAGCTTCTCTGAAGCATCTGTATAATATTGAGTGTAAAGTTTATTTTTGTATCATCAGGTGAGTTACTCACATGCTACACATTATTCAGTAGTGAAACATCAAACATTATACAGTAAAAATTTCAGATCAAAGTAAAACTAATAACCATATGAATAAAGTCAGAAGGAAACTTATCTTAGCCAACGCTTTTTGCCCTCCAAAGGACTTTATCAAGGTAAATGCAAGGATTTTATTTTGTAATAAGTATTTATATACAGGAGCAAAAATATTAATAGTTTTTCAAAATTTTTAAATTTAAGGATGCTCATAAATATTCATTAGGTTAGCTGAAAGGTCTAGGCAAGCTATGGAAAATAACTATATATCAAGCAACAAAATTATTCATCCATCCTTGTATATTCTGCACTTAAATCTTCGCTACCATTTTTGTTATTTGTATATGTTTTGACTGACAGTGCCTCCAATCGTCTTTAGGTGCATGTTGTATCTAGTCTTTAGAATTCTATGAGTACTTTCTTTTGCCATACTATTTTAATTTCTACAATTAAAATTGTCCAGTAGACTGTAATTTAAAAAAAAAAAATTATACTAGAGATCACCAAATACAAGACACCAGAGCCACTCAAGGTAAAAGTTTACCAAAGATAGAGTGTGATATGAGTGTAAAAGAAAGTTGTAGGAAGTGGAGATAAGGAAGATAGATAACAATTGAGCCTTAACATAAAAAAAGCATTTGTTCAGGTGT